CACATTCAACACTATGGAGCTACTCCAACTTCCGGAATTCCATTCTTACCCTCGGATCAAAATCTCACTATCGAACCGGAAACTTCAAAAATTCAACTTTCGGCATTTCAAGCCTAAATTGGCTACGGACCTCCAAAACACAATCCGAACATGCTCCTAAACCCGAAATCACTCTATGGCGCTAACGGAACCATCGTAATTCCATTTCGAGGCCGTCTTCACACTGTTCCGACTATGGTCAAATTTTCAAAACTTAAGCTCTCATTTAGGGACTAAGTGTCCCAAAACTCTTCGAAACTCCAAATAAACCCTCCCGGCAACTCACAATAATAGAAACAAATACAGGGAAAGCAGTTAATAGGGGATCAGGGAATTAATTCACAAGACGACCGACCGGGTTGTCATACTTCGATAAGCCGGATACCCATGGTTTGGTTTTTCCTCACTATAACGCTCGATTCACGAGATATTTTAGAGGAATATTCTCTACACTTGTACGTTCAGTTAGGTGAGAGATATTTCCCATATAAGTAGGAATAGAGAGAGAAGAAAGAGGTATGTAATATTCTATTAATAAGTTCTCTCATGAAAAGTTGACTCTCAAGTAAACTACAAACACTGTCTTTACAAAAAGATTCGATTTTGTTGTTGATTTCACATCTTTCTCGCATCAGATCCGAGAAAGCTTTCAATATTTCCACGTTTGTTTGTCTTACATCATTGTCATAGGGAGAATCATCCACCTTATTGAATATTTGGGTGAATCATTCTCCCTATTTATATTTATCGCCATTTAATATATTTATTGCTTGTCATTACTCCCCCATACATTTATAACATTACCATTAAATACCCCCTTTGTATTAAATCGGTTTAAGTGCAATTATTCGTTGTTCATATCAACCAATTTCAGATCTAGGATTTATTATGTTTAACTAGGATATTTTTTGGTCAAATACTACTGTCTGACGTTCTCCAAACTAATAGCTTGTTTAGTCAAGCTTACTTTTGGCCAAAAATATTTTCTCGGGTTAAAAGTATTGTTTTTAAAAGTTAAGTGTTTGACCAAGCTTTTAGAAGGCAAAAAATATATATTTTTGAGTAGAAGCAGAAAGAGTTTTTGAGAATTAGAAAAATAATAACTTTTCCCCAAAAGTACTTTTTTGAAATACATTTTTGAAAAAAACACTTAAAAATACTTTTTAAAAGCTTGACAAATACTAATTGCTCTGGTTTTAGAAAATTGGTCAAACACGCTACAAGCCTTAGCTCATCGGCAGGTAACTCTACCATTTCAAACAACCAAGATGATACTCCAAACCAACTGATTGTATTAGCTCAACACTAATTGTGATTACAACGCATATGCTGACGAGAGTAAGGATAGGAAAGCAGAAATCTAAGAAGAAAGGGGATGATAATTAGACCGATACATCAATGGGGATGAGAAGTAAAGGAGAAGGACAAAGATGAGAAAACAGAGCTTAACACTAGACAACTTTAGCATAAAATGGACTACGCCTTCTACTGTATTTATAACTAATTTTCTCACGCTGCACTTTCACACACTGAGAACCTGCTTATGCTCAAAATGGGTCTCACACATAATTTTCCAAATTGCCAAATATGTCCTCCATCGAGTTACTCACTGAGTTCACAATAATACAGCCAGCCTCAAAAAGAACCTTGTCCGCAAGGTTTGAGTAAACTAAAAATTGCAGCAATATCCACTTGACACTATCAACAGCAAACAAACAATTCAAAGCAACTTCTTTGCATTTGGTATAAGACATAATAATATGGTAATGGGAATAACCATCTGTCATCAAGGAAAGCCATCCAGATATCAGTGAATTAGTACCAAGGTTATCGTCTTGAAGTGAAATCAACTTCGTCCAATCAAAGGGATCCTCAACCTTATACATTATGTCATACCTTAAGGTACCCAAAAGAGCATCACAACAAGCTTAACGTATTGGCTTATCACTCCTGCATCAGTGCAAATAAATGCACATGAAAGAGCAACACAAATTAGTCTAATCTCAAAGTTAACAATTCCATTTCCTATCCCTAGTGTTAACATTGGGCAAGGCATTCCACGGAATTTTAACTTCCTCATTGAGATTATAGCCATGGAAAATAGATCTCGCCATCTAACACTAGGGATAAAATGATTGAAGGAATGTTGCACCCTTTTGTCCATGTAACGATGATCTGATGTCATCCAACCAGCATCTTACTCAACAATATCCGCAGCAGCTGCATTTAGTAATTTGGGTCGAGGTAGCAGCTCCACAGAATAATATGTACAACCACCACCAAGCACAACATTGGCAACAACCCCCTTCCTACATACCGGATCGTAGGCGTTAGCTAGTAGAACCTGAATTCCTGGATCATAGGGGTAAAGGTCGAAGCGTCGGCTCGCACTAACTTGCCCAAATAGTCATGCGTCCTCACATATTGCAAGAATAAAAACAACACATGATGCGGACTTCCCCTCACTATAAACCCAATCATACCATAGTGCAGCTATTGGATCATAAGTAGAAAAAATAACACTATTTGCAAACATATTCCCGTTGATAGCATATGTTATAACTATATTATGTATACCAGGATCAAAGAGAAGATTAGCAAACTTGAGATAAACAACCAAATCTACTATGGAAGATGAATAATGTTGCAAAAAATATATGATGGTTTGGAACCCCAGCTTGGCAAGCCCTCTAAATGGCTTCATGTTAAGCCCAACATCCAGTAAGTCCATATCCATGAATTCTACAACGTCATATATATAGTTTCCAGCATGAACTAATTGACTTGATCGACCAAGCATATCTACAATGATGACATATTGTGCATTGTCATGTTTGAGCTTCGACTCTTCCATTAAGTTGAAATAATGCAGTCCTTTTATCAAGCTTTAAGAAATTTGCTTGCACTTTGCTCTTCCATCCTTCTTTATTAGCCAACATAGCCAAGACCTTACTAGGTTGATACAACTTTAGAATTGTAGAAGTAGGAACTCCAACCCCGCAAGAAATCATCATTAAAATCTCGTATACGAGGCTGTAGCGAGTGATGTCTTCTTCATAATGAATGAGCTCCATTAGTAGCCAATGCATCACAGCAACTAGATACGCAATCTCACAGTGACACCACATCAAACCACTCCTAAAATACCTCAACTGAGTAAGCATGTACTGCTACTCAAGGTGAATCAGAGCACCATCAAAGGAATATAGAAATAAATGTGCTATAGACTCACCCAGTAGCTTGTATGATGTACAAGAATTTCGAAAATTACTACTGCATTCAACACCCGTTTCAACTCCACCCACAGGCTGCCAATCATACAACTTTGCAAATAAACAACTCCCTTTCCTAACTTCTTCAAAAAGTACATGTGCCTTCATGTTTTTTATCGAATCTGTTAGAGCCATGAACTCGGGACTAATTCCTGGATCCCATGCATAAAGAACCGTTGCAGTTACGGGCATGGTGATATCAAGAAAATCAAAACCAAGATCAAATGGAAACCGGCTCAGTTTATGGTGATAATTGAATTCCACATTAGATTTTCCATGCTCATCCTCATGCGTCATTTCATCTGGAAGAATTTCATTTGCTGGAATGCCATACACATTCTCCATAAAATATTTATCGGGGCATAGTTCAGCGAAAGTCTCAGGTTCCATGAAAAATTCAGCAACATATGTGTGTTCAAGTGTCTTAAATTCAATTTGTCATGTACTAGCGCCACAATCAAGAGAAAGTTTAGTCATACACCTATCTGGCCTATCTTTTTGAGGACTTTCATCAAATAGTTGGACTTTGTTGCTTTCAGGACCCATAGCTTTTTCATCGGTGTTGATTGGAGCATATGGTTGCACCTCTGCGAATTCTTTGGCACAACCGCTATGTAACATTTTGTCGAACACCGTAGGTGAGTGATTATCATCCAAATCAACTGCAAAGTGAGAGACATATGTGTTTGCATTTGTGTTTTGGGTCACTGCTGTAACAGGATAATTTTCCTCCACTGCTTTGGAAAAGACTCTAGTAGACATTTCATCGAACATATGTTTGGCCCCTTAGTTTCTATGTTTAAATGTGGATTGAAACTCAAAGAAGTTGGAAACAGGACTCATAGCAGTAAGAGGACTTCCCTGGGTCCTTGGTAGTTCTAACGTTTCATCACAATAAGAACAAAATTGGAGCTCAGCCGAACACCCTATCGGAGCAGGGGGGATCCATTTGTGATAATGCAGCTTCAATTTCTCCGTAAAATGCTTCCAGCCGACCAATTGCTTGTTCCGATAAAGCCACTGGAACCAAGCTAAAGCTTCGCCATCCAAGTAAGGTGATGCTAAAGCGAGCTTAACATCGTCAGCGATGGAGTAAAACTCAAAATACTTCTCCGCCTGTAAAATCCAAGACTCCGGATTTCCTCCGCGGAACCGCCCTAATTCCACTGGACCTTGGGGTGGAATGGACGTCATAGCCTTTTCCCCCACCAACTCTATTAACATCGAACGAATATCAGCGAAATCCTTAGAAAGCGAATCCTTCATTTCTTGTAGTGAATCACAAATTGAGTCATCAACGAAAGCCTTGAGTAACTTTTGGTCCTCCATTAGAGACCTCTGGATGAAAGCACCAATGTAACAACCCAGATGATACTCCAAACCAACTGATTGTATTAGCTCAACACTAATTGTGATTACAACGCATATGCTGACGAGAGTAAGGATAAAAAAGCAGAAATCTAAGAAGAAAGGGGATGAGAATTAGACTGATACATCAATGGGGATGAGAATGAGAAGTAAAGGAGAAGAATAAAGATGAGAAATAACTAATTTTCTCACGCTGCACTTTCACACACGAGAACCTGCTTATGCTCAAAATGGGTCCCACACATAATTTTCGAAATTGCCAAATATGACCTCCATCGAGTTACTCACTGAGTTCACAACAAATGCTCTTCTTTTTTTCTTTTTCTTTTTTTCATAGGTTGGATAAGATAAAGCGACAGTTGTGATAAACCCTCTCTATTCCTCAACACTCCACTCTCAAGGGTTTTAGAACAAATCTACCAGCCCCAGCTTCATCTAGGTTTACGAAAAGGGTAAGCTTATTTTTTTATTAAACCTCCTTTTGCGTTTTGGTTGCAAAATATTTCTCATTTTATTTCGTTTTTGTTCATAACATGTATAGATGGGAGCCCTTTTTTTTCCTTTTTCATTTTTACTCCTTTTTGTTTGAACAGAGTCTCTCTTTTAGAATTTGGTACTCCCTCAACTCCATTTTATATCAAGGTGTTTTAATGGACTATAGAGTTTGGATGTTAATCTGATTGTCTGTTATATTTGTGGTAGTGAAGGTTGAAATGTTAGTTTAGTAGAGAAAATTGACATCAAAATTTGAAATTTGAGTAAATAAAAATTTTTGGATGCGAAGGTTCTATAGAATCATATAATTAATAAATGGTGTAAATATTGTAGGAACCTCTCAAAATGAGGAAACTGTATTTCAAATATGAAGGGGGAGTAATTATTTTGCCGGAAGTGGATGGGACTGCTCTTCCCTTAACCAAAGGTCTCGGGTTCGAGCCCTGGGTATGGAAAAATCCTTGGTAGTGAGTGCTTCCCCCGAATGGGGCCCTACGCAGCGCGAATGCGAATCCGAATATAGTCGGCTCCAATGTGGGTACCGGACACCGGGTGGGAAACCAAAAAAAAAGGATTTTGGAAAATAATTCATATAGGCTAGAACATAACTGAATCAACTGCTGGTGCAAACCTGAAGTTTTGCATTTGCTTTAATCTATGCACTAAGCAAGGATGAAACTATCATTCTAAGCCCCTAATAGGTCAGGTTGATACCATCTTGTTGCTACTGAGCAAACCTGGTCTTGAATAGGCTTGAAATTTTCACATATTTCTTTGGAAAGTACGAGATAGGGGCCAGTTTCTCCCCAAGAAAAAAGGCTTTCTTTTGATTTTATCAGGTCAAGGCGACTTACTTTTATGAACTCAGAAGCAGTTGGCCAAAGCAGTAATGTACTTCCATATACATATACATTTGTTTGTTGTGATAAGTACAATTTGACTAGAAGATTCGAGATGAAATGCAGAACCTGCTATAAAATGCTCCAGACATATGATATTTGATTGGTTGGTTATACTTTAAACACAAATGAAGAAGCTTTAAAGAAGAGCAAATTAGGGCTATGGTAGTTCATTTGATTGAGATTCCTACATCAGGACTATCTATAAGTGATGCATCATAATCCATAAATCATGTAAATTATGCTTGTGGGATTTGTACAAGTAATTTGAGATTCTTGTATTTCTCTCGGACATTATGTTGGAAGACACAAGCAGTAGTTGCGTGTATTTTGATATACTTGCTTTGGACTATGTGACTAACTTCTGCTAACATTGTGCAGCTGAGACTGGCTCATTTTTCTTGTAATAGCAATACAAATAGAGTGCATCATATGGCGAGTCTCATAACAATGCCTGCTTTAAGCAACTTATCCACCAACACTAGCAGCCTAGAACGAACAAATTTTTCTGCATCCTCAAGGAGATATCGGGGAGTCAGGGCAATGAGGACAGAGAAACCACTGGAGGAGTTGTATAATGTGAGAGTAGAGAGAAATGTAACAAAAGATCGACTAATGGAGCTTGGAGTTCCACGATGGTCAATGTGGAAAACTGGCAAATGTAAGTTACCTTGGGATTGGCATGTGGATCAGCTGGTTTACATTGAAGAAGGTGAGGTAAGGGTGGTACCTGAAGGAAGCCAAAGATTTATGCAGTTTGTCGCGGGAGACCTTGTTCGGTATCCTAAATGGTTTGAAGCTGATCTCTACTTCAATGACTTCTACCAAGAGCGATATAGCTTTCGAGCATATGGAGATAGCTAGTGAATTTATTTCCTGCAACTAGGCTCATAAAGATTTAAATTTCCCGGTTTTTGTGGTGTAGTTTACTTATTATAAGTTTATTTGTTTCATTAGCATATTCAGGTTGCTGTTTTTGTAATACAAATGGCAGAACATGGTCTGTCTATATGTGTTAGTGGCCAGATAGCATTCAATTTAGTAAACCTTAACTTCTCCTTGGCCCTAGAAATAATGTGTTGCACTGTGATCAACTTTCTAATCCATCTGAGATTGTTTTGCCCGTGTTATAATGGACTGCTCAGGGTGATAAAAAGTCTTTTTCCCCAGCTGGGAGACATCTGAGACATGATATACTGCAAGCTGTTACTTCATCATCAGTGTTCTATTGGGAGGTTTGATCAGAATGTATATGGCACCAGACGCCAATAATAATACCAACATTATAATCCGTTACTTTGAGATTGTTTTTCATATAAGTGCATTCTGCATAAGCTTGGACCTTTAAGCTGTATTTGTTCTGCCTTGTGGACAGAAAAGATAAAGCACTACAAAAAAAAGGACTTGTGATCTTTTTTCTTAACAGTAGAACAAAAATAATAAAGCTCTTTAACTTAACAAGCCACAAAGGGAAATATCATAAACTCGGCATATTGAACTGCTTTAGTAGGTACAAGCATACGGAGAAACTTGGAATATAATTCCCCCATGAGTGTTTAGACAATATGGAGGGACAATCTGCCTCACCAGAAGACATACATATTTAAGAATGCTTGTTTGACTACACTTGCTGGTGTTAATTCTTTTTCTAAATGATGTAAAAACCTTTGTGGAGTTCATGGACTCATTACATGTAAGAAACCTTTGTGGAGTCACTGGAGTTCATCATGTAATAGCACCTGTAACAGGGACAGTCCCTCAAAAGGGTTGCAATTTACAGTACTCCGGTAGTGCTCAAGATGCTATTGCTGAAATTCAAAATTATCATATCATATCACCAAATAAATATTCTTTCTTTCAATAAATATAACCAAATAAATATTACTATCAGCAAGAATCCCATGAGTATATTTGAGACCCTAAGTCTTTATAGTACAAACGCCCCGTGCAGATGGGACCAAAAGCAATGAGCCGAGCACACCAGCTCCTCNATTGTCTGGCGGCTAAGATCATTACCATGGATGTAGCACCAAGTAACAAAATACAATTCTTGGGCCCACATCTACGGTTCATCAACTAATTGAAAATAGTAAATTCTAGATTAGCAAGCAAGCTTTCTTCAACTACCCATATTTGTCCGTGAATTGTTGCTGGTAGCAATGACGACAGAAGAAGCATATCTAGAGACGAGCACAGCTTCATTACTCACAAAGTTGGAAGCTGCTACATCTTCTAAACGTTTCCAGGTCAATTCCCGTCTCTCCTGCATCTCCTTGTTTTTTATCTCAGCTTCTTGGAATTTCTCTAAACACTCATCAAAAAGTGCTTGATCAGCATCTGAAAAGATCTTCCTTACATTTGATGTCAGACTTTGAACAGCTTGGTTCCAGTGACCATTGGTGTTTTTCTCCAAAGGGGGGAAAATTATGGGTAAAATCACTTCACGATTCTGAATTATTAGGTTTCTAATGTGATCATTATTCCACAGGAATAGAGCACGTTCAGCTACCTGCCAATCAATGTGAAATGGAGACATTCAGCAGAATAGACTTATGCAGATGATGATTCTAGAAGTAACAACTTGACAATCGTTTCCAACAGGAAATATTGCCAGGGTGTATTTTGAGGTTTCTTGCAAATAAGAATAGGCAATGTGTATTTTGACGTTTCTCCAACAAGATTAGGTTGCTTTATTATTCTTATTAACAAAGAACACATGCAGCTTGAAATTATCCTCTAGGTTCTAGCCGTTTATGACACAATCCAATTCAAAAGTGACCTAGAATCATAATACAGAACCAATAAGGAAAATTGATAAATGGTAGTGTTAAAGAATTAGGACACCTTAGCAGAACAAGAGAAATGATCCATGAGCAAAATATGAAAGAAACAGAGGCAAAAGCATTTGACTAACAATTTAAAAGATTCTTTAGATTGATTACTGGAAAAAGTCAGGGAAGGCAGCAATGCCCAAGCCAAGCTATCTAAGTTAAATCTTCCATTCAAAGTGGCTTTTTATAAGGTAATAATTTTATTGATGTAGTGGGGGGAATCCAAGGCATACAGGGTAAACGAAAAGTAGATAACCTTGTCCAGAAAATTGCACCAAAATCATTCCTAATTGGACCTCATGGATGCCCCAAAAACTAACTAGAAGCAAAAGGCATGCCAAAGAGCTCAACTATTTCTTTATGTCCATATAACCCACATAAGGGCCAAAGGGCGAGAGGTTACATCCCAGCTCTGCATCTCAACGTTAAAGTGTTTCAAGGATTAATTCCCCCCCCCCCCCCCCNAAGTCAAGAAAACAATTGTCCACCACAAAAACATTGTAAAACAGTATACAACAACTAAGCCTCAATCGATAGCTAGTTGGATTTGGCGGTACGGATCCTGAATATCCTGAATGCTTTATTTGGTCCATGAAATAGTTTTTTAGGAAAGGGAATGGGTGCCTATTCACAAGGAAAGCATGTTCCAACCATGTCTTAGAATCTTTTTTCAGCTTTCTCACTCAAGGAATTCCACATTCTGGCTAGAAATGGCATTTATCATTTACTTCTTTTTTCTTTGAGATCATTTATGTTTTCAAGTTAACTAACAACATAAAAGTCTTGCCTTCTCATTTATAGGTGGAACAATTATCCACTTAGTTAGACGCTCCATCAAGCTTAGATCCTAGAGAATATCAGAAAAGCGCTGAGGAAACTCAGCCAAGGAGAAATAACATAAATCACAAAGGAGATAGCACTCTGATCATGTGTTGTCGCTAAACACATAAATCACAAAGAAGAGTAGCACTCTGACCAAGTGTTGTTGCTCTACAGAACTCATAAATCACTAAAAGATATAGTTTTGCAGGAATAGAAGAGAAAACACCAAATACTACTTACTGTCCCTTTTCCCCATAGATTTTACTCATCCACTCATGAAAAGCAATACTTTTACACTTCCTGCACTAGCTTTTGTTATGCTTATGATGAATTGACAATGTTTGAGGTTATCATGCAAGTATCTCCTTCACTTCCTCTTTGATTTACAAAAGGCTATACACCTTCCATCTCATTTAGGAACCTGCTTTCTATTTTACTCCATAACAAATTAAACCTCTTTTCTGATATGCCAAAATAAACATTGCCAATCATAACAATACTCTACACATACTGGTAGCAATCATAGTGTAGCAACAATTATAGAACAGTAGTAGTAAATTGTTCTAACTTCTACCTCAAAGTTGCACAGCTTTCCAACATGTGCGAAAATCTTGTGAGCAGAAACAATCCACAAGAGTTTAATCGAATTCATTGGTGCTAACCAGTCAAAATAAATACAAGCTGAAACTCAACAAAGGAATTTTGCCTTATCTACTTGATACCACAACCAGGGAATGTGAAGGACAATTAATACTTAAATTCTGCTTCAAAATGAGTGACCTTAACCGTGAGTCATCCTTGATCAATCTTTTTTGCCTATTGCTGGAAAACTAAGAGCATGTAAATAATGTCTACGGAAACCATCCATCAACATATAACATGTCAAGGTTATTGGATAGACCTGACCTCTATTGGGAAAAAGTAACTTTAAGTGAAGCTTTAGCATCACAAATAGCTTGTGAATAATATTTATGTGTGTGTGTGTGTTTACCTGCATGTCTGTGTCTGTGTGTCATATAAGGTGCCTAAAATATGACAAGCTGCTGAGGCGAGCTGCGACAGCTTGAACCGAGTCTGATCATTTCCTCAATACTTCGGCAATCACAAATATCTTTAATGTACTTTTCAGTAAACAACGCTTGCTAGGTAGACTGGTTATTCTTTGTTTCCTATTTGCTAATTTGGTATGAGCTATATCTGCTATTCAGGTGGATTTGCAACTCTAACTAATATTAAAACTTAGATTAATTGTTTAATACTACTCACAGTTGTGTATCTATCTATTTAAACTGAATGTTTTTTGATCTTTTTGCCCTTCTCCGTTCATATGATTGATGATTTGATGATATATCACTTGTAAGTTGTAAGCCAATCCTAGAACCTGGAGCAGATATGCTCTTCAAAAAACCAACAGCACGAGGTTCCTAAACCTATGGACTGGTCAAATTGAACGTTGAATAGGTCTTCCAATCAAAGCAAAAAAACGATACTAACTAAAAAGAATGGTGACGCTTTGTGCATCATCAGCCTGTCAAAAGAAAGTAATAACAAAACCTTTTAAAGACAAAAACAGAGAAAACAAAAAACAGAATAACATGAGCAATAATAAGCATATACCATTATATCAATTTTAGTGTTTCATAATCATTCAGACATGACAAGTTCGCCAAATGGAATACCTCGTCATTTCTTCTTTATTATCATTCAAAAACCCACATTTGTGGTATTTCTTCTTTATTATCTTTCAAATTAAGCTACACTGAAATTATACTTTCCTCCATGCAGATACTGAAGATATGTAGCGTTCATCCCGCAATTTGTCATCTCTCCAAGACAAACATACTGAAAAAGCCAATCTCAATCCAGCAGCAAATTTGTCATTAGTTCAGCTAATTCAAACTAAAACTGAAGAGATCAGTCATTATTCTCCTCCAAATATTTAATAAACCCACACTCGACCTTGAGAATTCTCAAAGTGCGGGAAACCCACAATAGGCCCCCTCATCTAACGAAGCATCGAACCATAAAGATTTTTTAGCTTGAATTGCCAAGAAGATTGAGGTAGAAACAGGGACCAACCCCAACATAAACTGAGAATTTCGAGCTAACAAAAGATGAAATAAAAAGGACCAGGATATGATACCTGAAAATGCGAACTATTGAGACAACGACCAATCTGACGGAACAAAGGGACCACACACCGTTGAAACTCTGCAACTTGGGTAGCTTCCAGAACTTCCTCCAACTCACCAAGAAACATGACCTCCTTGCCACTATTGGTTACTGGCCAGTACTTCAAAAGTCCTCTGATCACAGTGTCTGCCAACTTGCAGTCTTTCTCCACAAATTGTGTGATGCAATACATGAGTTGTTGGTGATACATGGCTACACATTTAGGTTTGTGAAGGGGAATCAATGCACGGACAAGAAAAAGCTTGTGCTCTTCCTTTAAAGGCAGAGCAAACCCATTAATTATACTACCCAAGATCTCCAATAGTTCTGC